TCGTTGGCTCCCATTCGGGCATAGCGATGGTAAAACCTGTGACCTTATGAAGAAGGGGTGTGGTAACGTTAATTTTTGCTCACCATATAGCTTGTTATTATCTTGCATATAGAGGAAAGGGTCATAGCTGATATCACAAAAGAATCTGACATCCGGTCTATCGCAAAAGGTTAGTGCACGTCCAATTCATATTTTTGTAAGCGTACTCCACTCTCCAATAATATTTGTATGGTAAGAGAAGTTCGTGTTGGAAGAAAAACTAGAATGAGAATGAATGGCAGGTGTATGAATTATCCGTGTAAATACTCACTCCAGAGTTGAAGCGGCACATATTTCGATATCTGAGGAAAAGGAGTGAATATCCCCTTTACAAGCGAGAACTGGTTGAACATACGATACACTGCCTGTAAGGTAGCATAAGTTTCTGATTCCTCTTACACGTTGACGAAGCGAACTTACCACCGTAGATAATACCCTGCCTCGTCAATCGATTGCGACCTTCCTGAGCTCTTTTTTCGTCAATCCAATCTGGTTGGAACCAATGCTCCCTTGGTATGAGACCAAAGGAAATAGGCGCATCTGTCAATACGCTGACTCGTCTGCAAAAGAAAGTCAAGCAAAGTGAATGTACTGCTGACGGCAATCCTAACCGTTTGAAATCCGCCGAAAAAGGCTCTTCGTTCAGCAAAACCCATGGATACTTAAACTCGCGATTAAACTTCGCCTCCAGTTGTTCTATGCTGCTGATCACACCAGGTAGATCACTATTACGCGCAAGCATCACCAGTGTGGCGTTTGCACGTCGTGGTGAAGTTGTGTATTTTGGATCCAGATGAAGCTCGGAGGAAACTGGAGATTTAGTTGATATCGCAAGGTCTGATATACTATCCTCCGAGGATGCTGAAATATTCTCATGGATATCGACAATGATGTCTGAATCTTTTGATGCTCGCCATTGGGCAGTTAGTTGATTCAGAGAAGCATGAGCTGTTTCGTGGTGACCAGACGTAAAGACATAAGCGAGGGATGCCTGAAAGACGGTTAAAGCGAACATCTCGACATAAATGATCACAAACCAAAATGGTGAACGCGATAAATATCGAACGTTTATGTGTAGCCGTTAACGGGATACCCATGCTTTTCGGGGGGCAATAAACCTAGCCACTCAGGGGAAAACAACTCACTCGGGGGAAGGGCCTTAATATCAATGCGAACGTTGTGACTTTTATACTGCATGGGAGATGACCAAAGTTTCCGAGGAATTCTGTGGCAACATGATCTTTTCGAGAAAAGGATGTGAATATTAATTCGCGCCAGAATTGTCAACGAGCTGCGCAGCACGCACCGGGTGGAGCAAGAAGGCAGAAATATGATATCCCATGATTTTCGCATCAGTACTAACCTGGACCTAATCAGCAGTTTCACGATAATGATGAAGTCAAAGCACTTGCGGGACCGTCAGCCTCATCGTATGATGGCGCAATGCGTGATGGTAAAAGGATTGCTTATAATCAATACATTTTGCTTTCCTCGGGAGATGCCAATCATGCACCCCAGGCTTATAGAATTATCTTACCCACCGGCATGTTACTATTTTTAACATAATGGTTATCTGTTGCAATGCATGCGAGTGTGAAGCGAGCAAAGAAATTGAAACGAACTGCTTGTTGAATAGGTTTTTCGATAATTACCAGCGGGTGATTGCTCTACCTGCCTAACGCCATGACCAGCGTAGGAGCGATTGACTCCCTTCTAAAAGGTCTGTCTACGGGAGGCTGTGATAGAGTCTTATCAGCAATAATTGTTCCAAAAATTAGCCTGGTTCACTTTCTAGTACGTCATAGGAGTGATGTGAACGGGAGGCCGGCGGTACCTGAGAACAGTGGAGATAACATTTTCGAGAGTTCAGTTGGATACCGGGCCTTGTGTTGCAGTTCTCGCGACTATACGCCGGAAAACGTTGCAGTCGCTTCCGTCAGACTTTGGGCGGATGACCAAACTTCCATGTTCGTGAGGATTAAAGATTTAACAACCCGGGAAGTCACGATTAAAGGTCGTTTGGTCGCTTAACGCATCATCAAGTGATGGTCTAGAATATGGCGATGCAGTTGAACAATGAAAGAAGCTTTGGGGATTTTTATAGAGGACCACAGAAGTGGTGCTTGCAGCTACTTTAGGTCTACATCCATGTAAACGAGCTCGAGTGCTCTTCAACTGTATGCTTGTTTTCACTGTATCGAGTGCGAGCCGCGGCTGCTCGACGAGAAAACATTGGAAAGATATAACCAAGTTGTAGTGTTTGGGGTTAAGCGTTAAACGTTAAGCGCCTAATAAGTAAAGGCCCGGCGCTTGAACGCAGAGTCCGAATTTGGCAATGTTTGGCCACCCAATTTTTTGAGTATTACAGCGTCACCTTCCGACGTTTACTTTCTGTTCCATATGGCGTCCATTCCGTCCACTGCTAATGATGGCTTCACTGACCCATCTCCCTCTTCCTTCTCTCCTTCTCCACAAAAATCTTCAACTCCAGGCGTAGCTCCTTTCACGAACATCTTTGGCCGGTTCTCACAATGGCGGAAGTCGCTCGACCTTCCAAATCCTGGTAGTGTTGAAAACCTGCAAAAGGAAGTGAAGAGTAAGTATATCATGTATCTTTTAAGACAGTGCTTATATCCATTGTTTATATCTCAGCAACTCATCTCACAAACTTCATTTTCGATGGTGCAAGGGCCGACCTCACCAAGAGTTTGTCGCTGAATCCCGCGTTCCAAGTCACTCACTCTTTCGCGCTTGGCTCGCAAACGACCGCTCCATCGTACAACTTTGGTGCAGTTTTTGCCAACGCTAATGTGAACGCGTTTATACACAACTGCGTGGGCATGTCCTGACAACCTGAACAGATTTTCTTGCAAGGCACCGTCGACCATGATGGTAACGTGAACGCGCGTATGAATCAAGGATGGACAGAAAATTCGATTACGAAAATGCAGGCGCAGGTGAATTACATCTTTTCCATGGCTGCATAGCTCGCGTTTACCTCCAAACTACTCTAGCTTTCCTCTCAACCTGGACACAACATGATTCAACTAGAACATGACTACCAAGGTCAAGATTACACCCTGAATGCCAAGGCGGTCAATCCATGGCCTACGGATCTCACGGGTATCTTCATTGGCAGCTACTTCCAGTCCTTGACCAAAAATTTCGCTGTTGGTATCGAGTCGCTATATCAACGACCCACACCAGAGATGGCAGAACTCTCCACTTCCTACCTGGCAAAATTTACCAGCACAGATAAAAGTTGGATTGCGACGGCCCAAGTACAACCCGCTGGAATAGTACAAACGACCTATTGGCAGAAATTGAGCGAAAAGGTAGAGGTTGCTGCGGACCTTCAGTTGATTGCTGCGCCTGGGCGGAGAGACGCAATAGCTACTCTTGGTGCCAAGTACGACCTTCGCATGGCAACTTTCAGAGCGCAGTTGGACTCTACCGGCAAAGTATCAGCCCTTCTTGAACAACGTTTCGCGCCAACTTTCGCATTTTTGGTATCTGGCGAGATCGATCACTTCAAGGTATGCTGACACGTCATTACCATATCTCTCCCAAGCTAATGCTATCTGCAGAACGCTGCTAAGGTCGGCGTTGGTGTGATGATCGAGAGTACCACTTTGACCCCAGAGGAGATGGGCATGCCTCCCCAGCCATAGTCACGCAGTAATATCATATAGAGCCATACTATTAGGACTTTTCTTCTCTTCCTCATTGAACACCGCAAAGTTTGCCGTGAGAACTGTAATAGCGCTGAGAAGTTGAACCGTGTAAGTTGAATGTTGAAACAAACGTCATGGTAGAAAAGTTGCTTGAACTCTGCGATATCGCTTGTGCAAAGAATAAGGACGAGAACATATTTTCCTCCGTCAATTTCGATGTCAACGAAGGTGATATCATTGTCCTGCAAGGGAAGAGTGGATGTGGGTGAGTTTTGGGTAGCTTTATCACATGAGTTATCGAGTCTGATGCGATTTATGGCCGAATACTCGCAGCAAGACAACGTTAATGAAATGCATTGCTCATTTGAATGTGTACGAAGGACAGATATTGTTCAGGGGGCGGTACGGGTATACGTTGATAAAGCATGTCTGCGCGTTGCTAACGAGTCTCTCACCTTGTTTATCATTAAAAGTTCTCCCAAATCCTATGGTAAAGTTCTGCTTGCCCTCCCCCCTGAAATTATCTGAACGCATGGACTACACTAGGTATTCCTAATTACCGCACACAGATATTCTATGTACCTCAGCGACCCTCCCTACTTCCGGGTACTCCGCGTGATTTCCTAACAACTATCGCCAGTTTCCAATCTCGAAAAGAATACTCCAAAGCTGCAGGAGGGGATCTTATCTATCCAATCGAGGTCGCTGAAGCATGGGGAATCGACGAAGAGCTTTGGGATAGAAATTGGTCTAACTTGAGTGGCGGTGAATCGCAGAGGATCGCGTTAGCAACTGCTGTTGGTCTCAATACCGCCGAAGTGCTTTTGTTGGACGGCAAGTCTCACGTCATCGAAACAAATTCGAATAGCTCATAGCCATGCAGAGCCTACATCCGCTCTTGATCCTACGTCGTCGGCTCAAGTTGAGCGGTTCATTACGGATGAAATGAGGTCTGCCGAAAGCCCCCTCAAGGCAGCCATCTGGATCACACATTCTGAGGAGCAGGGGCGCCGAGTGGGAACGAGGTTTTTACGGATATCTGCCTCGGGATGCTACGAGGAACCACGAATCCTCGAGGCTTGAAGCTTAGAGTTTCAGGGCTTGAAATAGCTAGCTTGAAAGGTGATGAGAGGTAGAAGATTTCAGTATAGTTGTCCATGATGTACGCAGACCTAAGATTTGGGTTTTCTGAACATAGAGCATCGAACTGCATGGCAGGTCGGCATTTGTGATGAACTCGTCGTTACCAGGACTAGAAAACAGCTGCCAAAATGACAGCAAAAACCATAGTCCCACCGAGGGTTGAACTCGGGACCCTTGCATAATGTAACCACATAAGTACAACGCTCTGACCACTGAGCTATGGGACTATCAATAATTTTGCAGCTCACGTCTTACTCAAAGGACATCATACTTAGCATGATTCTTTTCTCTGATAAAAAAAATAAACCTTGCTTATCCACGAATTCATAAACAATACAAATACGCAAGTTTAGGACAAGGTATCTTGGTTGATCGTTGACTTTTATACCAGGAGCGCTCCTTCTACAAAAACAGCAAAATTATATTTATTCTGATTGTTCCCTGACCATGGCCCGAAGCCGCCCGATACCAGCCCGACTGCTGGGATCTGATCTTCCCAGTACCCGTGCTTCCAATCCGAATTCAAATCGACCGCTGCATAAAAAGCAGACTGCAATTTTTATTGTTTGGGATTCTCCTTCCTCGAGCCTCGCCATGGGAATATCCGACGAGATTCCTTCGACGATGACATGCTCTTGGGGATCTATGACTAGGTCAAGAGCCAGCACCAGCGGTGATGCTGTATCGAGCATCTTAGCATATGGAGTAGTACATGCAACAAAAAGACCCTACATGTAGCATTGGAGATCTTAGCTTGAAGATAATAGACATCATTGGGCGCCACCTGGTATTTGCCTGCAACACCCTGAACGTTGTTAACCCGAGATGCAGCTTCATTGTCTTCATCTTGAATCAACGACAGGTGTATAGCGACTTCATCAGTACGCAAGATCTTCAGCATAGGCAATGTCATCCGCTGCTGACGCAAAGATAAAATGCCCCATCGCGTTCCATTTGCCTGTGGAGCGCAACCCACTTAGTAAAAAGGATCGCTATCCACGAGTTCAAGTCGTCACCTCCTTCCAATGGCCTTGAATGTATTTGAATAACTCTTCTCGATACCAAAACAATTCACGTTGAGCTTTCTCTATGTCAGATGATAAATTGGATCTCGAAACGACAAATTGTCGGTCAGATAGTGTCGGTATAGGCCTCGTAACCAGCTCGTCAGCCAGTTTGAATTTCTTGATAGGGATAATGACACTGGAAAGACATGGGTCACACAGTATTGTGAAGTAAAGGAGTATGCATTACCGTGACATCGATCCCGGCGGCACGATTGATGAGACTGACGCTCGTGGGGTGCCTGTGTGGGTGTCAGCTAACCTAAAATAAGCGGGACGAAATACAGACCTTCCTGAGTCCTCTCGAATGTGATTTCGAAAGGCAATCCATACGTATTGCGAATATCGACGGAGAAAAGGCACCATTGTCCTGTTTCGTCAAGGGTCTGCACAGTCGACGAGGATTGATCGTCATCTATGAGCCCCTCAACACCATCCATTGGCAAAATACTCATGTCATGGCACTCCAGCATATGATAAACAGTCACCGTCACTGGGTACGTTAGCTGGCGCGTGTAGAATGTATCTTGTGGGTTATCAGGTTCGTCACTGCCGCGATTTACGTAGGCATATGAAGCATGGATGGCGCCGCTCGTGCTATTCCGTTGTCAGAACGGGTGTAAAGTCGACCAAGAAAGCACCCACCAGCCCACTTTTCCGAGACATGTGACGGTAACAGCAGCCTTCTGCCCAGGTTTAATAGTTGATATTTCCTTTTCGCTGCTCCAAGAAAAGGCCCGTCGGTGTATAAGATTATATTCCGTTTCGTAAGTCTCGAAGACAGATAGTTCTCCTTCGGAAAGAGCTGTTTGTGCCGGATTAATGGTAGAGTCTTCAAAAGATAGTCGCAGGAAATCCACAGGAAGGGAAGAAATATTTTCTAGGGTAAGCCGTATAGTCGACCTAAGCTTATAAGTTGTATATCGCAACAGTACGAAACCAAACTGACTTTTCACCGTCGTAAAGCATGACAGCTTCATGGGTTAGTGAAGTCCACCTTATACGGAGAAGTGGCTGTTGAGGTATCACAGTACATTCCAAAAACCGATCTCCATTCTTCACAAGAGGTAAGAGAGTGCTTGTGCGCTTTTGCCATTTCCATGGTCGGGAGTCCAGGCCAGAGTATTTGGTTCGACCGCTTTCGCATTTGATAGCACTTTGTCTCCGAGATACTCTCTCATCTTCAGCCTCCGTAGACATTGGTAATGTAAATTCCTTAGCAACGCCACCGGGTGCTTGAATGATACATCCTCGAACAGAAAGGGTACCTGTATTTGGAGCCAGGCCCACGATTGCGACAGGGTATACTGAATTCGGAGGAATTACGATGGAAGAGACTGATTGGCATTCGAAAGGAACTCCAGTTGTACTGTGAACTTTCATGAGCATGGGCACGCAGTATGCAAATAGGTCCTTGCCTCAAGGATACGCTCTGAAGCTCAAGTTCGAATACAAACGGATTTTGCAAGGTAATCACAAACTCAAAAGGCTCACTCTGGACTATAAGGCTCTTGCCCTGTAAGATATCCACTTTAAAGGAGCTCGCAGTGTAGCATGCCTGGAACTTACTTGCCCGCCTAGGGATTTTCTTGGGTTGTACAAGAACGGATCTGTGACACCAGTCAATATAGGGTTAATGGAGGATGAACGCAGCGCTAGTAGTGAAGCTGGTTTTTGGATTGGAAATCTATTAATGGGAAGGCTTGTAATTCGAAACAAAGTCAGAAGCAATTGCGTCTAAGGAACGAAAACAAGCACCTACGGTGTAACCGCTATACTAAGTATAGGACAATCTGCCCAATACTCAACGAGTCCAGCATCTCCACGCCGCCGCGTTATTGCTAAAGCGCGTGACGCCGTTTGATAGAGATGAAATTGATCTCCGATACTCAATACTGAATGCATACTTTTGAGGGCTGAGAGAGCTATCCGACCCACAACAAGATGATCTATTTGATAGATGAGCATCACTTCGATCATCAATGTTATAAGCCAACCTGGCAGTGCCTCAGCTACAGCTATCGCCTCACGGATAACGCCAACTTGTAATTCTGGCCAGCCAAAAGAGTCAGATGACATTTGGTCGACTGATGTGTTGGCACTACTGTCTTGACCATCTGTATGCGGATCTATGTCGGACTGGGCAAGTTTAACAGATTGAAGATCGACACCCAATACTTTGCAGGCATAGATAAGAACCCGCAGGATACTTTGATTTCCTTCGGGCGATTCGTTTTGTCTGATGCCAACACTCCCGCTCACGAGCTTTGCAGTTGAATCTCCATCGAGTGGGTCCATGTTTCGGATCGCACTACCCACATCAGATTTTCGAAGCTGGTCGTTTTCTTCTCGACCACAAACAATAAGATCCATAATGCAACTGAGAAGTTCTCGAAGGATATAAACCTCTTTTCGTTTGTATCCAATGCACGCAAAGATACTGGCGATGGACTGCAACACGTTTAATCGTTCGTTGGGGCCGAGGTGTAATAGCCAAGGACCGTGAGCTTGGGAGAGCACACCGGCAATCTGGGAACGTGATATTCCTGTCACGGTGTTTAATCGCTCCAGGTTGGACCATGAATTATCGGACATGATTTTCTGCATGTAGGAGGTGGCACCAGGCTGCAACATAGATGCGAAAGCGAGTGCACCCCACCCTTTGGCAGCCCATACGCAAAATAGAAGTGAAGTTTGTCGCAATACGGCTGTAGTGTAGATGTATGCAAGGAGAGAGTAGTTTTGCTCTCTGTCAGGTGGAATGGTTGCTCGCATATACAGTGAAATAGCCTGGGATAACTTGTCGTAGACATCATTCCAAGGTTCATTTGTGTTGCTGACAGAAGCTTGCTAAGAAGAGAGAAAAGAATCAGAATTGTAATGCGTTCGAAGCTGTAGGACAACAAATGACAAACCAGCCCGTGTCCGGCCGACCATGCAAGTAGGACCGAAGCGGTTGCCATCCCTTCTAAAGCAGACGCATGCCAAATAGGATCTTGCGTTGCCTTGAACAAGACAATAGCCTCAGTGTACCTAGAGAAGTACTTTAACGTGGAGGAGAAGCAGATACGGGTTCACTACAAACCATAATGTTGCATCCTCTGTTCGTCCAGCCAGTAAAAAGAAATCGGCAAGAACTTTATAAAGTCTTCCGTGAGGAGATGCAGCGCCAACCGCGCTAGGTCGTTTTTTGACTGGAGGTATACTTAGAGTTGACTGACGATTAGGGTTCATACTGGTAGATGGATTGACTCCCGGTGTGGCAGATGAGTTGCGCTTCAAAATGAAGTTGGATGGTGCATTGAGAGTCGAAAATCCAATCTCTGATTGACTTGAATGTGACATAAGATGAGGTGGAAGATCAAATTTAGAGTCCGAATCGAGAGGCGGTGGCATCTGTGACGAAGTAGGCAGGGTTGGAAACAGAGTTGAGTTTAGGTATTCGTTCCCTAGGGGAGTTTCAAGGACATTGACCTAAGGCCGTTTTAGTTTGGCAAACATGGATTCAGCACATAAGCATACCACGCGCCCAAATTCCCCTAAGATTTGAGAGCATAGATCAGCAAGTAGAGTTCCAATATAAAGCTTTTTATTTCCCATCACGCTCGGGATAATCACCAGGCCAGAAACATTGTCAGTAGCCTTCAAGCCTATATTACCTTCTGATCCATTATCTTCGAAAGCGAAGCATATTTTAGCTAGGGGGAATGTTGAATCCTCCGAGGACAAGTCAGATAATGAATTTTCAAATTGTTCGAGAATGGACGCGGCAGGAGTATGTTGAGAACACAGAGCTATACCAATGATCCCAAGGGTGAAGTGCGAGGGCCGAAAGAGGGACAGAGGGAGGTGCGACGGAATCGTTGGATGCGAAGGAAAACTTATATGGATATAGCCACTTGATAATGGACTGGGCATGAAACGTGCTGGAGAAGATGATATCTACGATCGACATTCAAGTCGAAAGACTCACCTCTTTCGTCCTTTGTGTCTGCAGGAATGTCACCTAGTCGAATAGAGTCAAATGCACGTATCTCCGCTGCGAATTTCTCGAATGTGTTCCGAGGAATGGATCCAACTGGTACCAGCAAAATACGGATATGTGCAAGGGATGCGAAGGCATGAGAGCTCATGGGTATCGTGTGTTTCGCAGTCGACACTGT